ATAAGCTAAGAGAGTATTATATATTGACAAAATAATTTTACATGTACTAATATATTATGTATTAATAAATAAAATTCTCTTAAATAAACAATATTCTTGTACATATTACAGAGTAAAGAAATTAAGTTCTTAACTAATCAAAATGAAAACCGAGATAAAAACTGTGTATTTGTAAATGTCACCATTTGCCCCTTAGAATGTCACTATTTGCCCTTAGGGTGGGGCTAATAGTAACAAATGTAGATTTCAGTTCTAATGAAAATTTAACCTTTAAACATAACTTACGGAACCTTTAATTAAATTTTTTGTATATTTGAAGGTGGAAAGTATTTTTTTATTGAAAAATCGTATCTTGTAATCTTAAAATTAGCATTGCAAGGGCGAGAGAAAAAATTCGGCACTATTTGCCCCCCTTTCCCTTACACTTACCCGTGCATTTTTTTTAAGTGTTGACGTGCATAACTGTGGTCCTTACATATCTTAATTACACTTTTACATATATTACATATCATGTAAAATGTGTCTATTGTGGTAAAATGATCCCATATCCAATATTGGATGGTATGTGAAATCCTACATTTAAATATAGAATGATGATGGAAGTAAAAAATACAATATACGAGTTACTATTAGTAATGCATACTACTCCACTTTGCGGGCAAATCTATTATTCTATAACTTTCAACTTGTTACTTGGATATTGAGATGCGATCTGTTATTTACAGTATGACAATCTGGTAAATACAACTCATATAGATTTGATTATTCTTGTACAAAAATTAAAGTACAAATATTATTAATTTGTACTTTTCTGAATACTAAACACAGTAATAGAACATAATTTTCGATAAGTGCTTTGTTAAATACTTGTTTTAACCATTATATTTCTTTGGGTGTTATTCATTTATTACTATTAATTACTGTCAACTTTACGCTCTTCAGTATCAATTTTTTATTACCTTTAGAGTACACTTACCCATGCTTATATTTTAAGTATTTTTGTAAATTATGTTCTCTATAGTTCTTTATTACTTTGTTACATATGTTACATGTCACGAACTATGTGTTTTTTATGGTAAAATAGTTCCATGCCCAATGTGTACATTGGATGATACGTGTACTCACATTACCCACATCATCTATACATGGAGGTAATATCCTACATTTAAATATAGAGTGTTTGAATAAGTAAAAAATGCAACATATAGAAATTAGTTTCAATTATGCGCACTACTCCGTTATACGGACAAATGTATTATTTTATATCTTTCAATTTATTACTTGGACATTGAGATGCGATCTATTATTAATATTGTGACAATCTGTAAACACAACTCTTATATATATCTGATTATTCTTGTACGAAAATTAAAATACAAATATTATTAATTTGTACTTTTTTGAATACTAAACATAGTAATAGAACACATATTTCGATAAGTGACTTGATAAATACTTGTTTTAACCATTATATTTCTTAGGTGTTATTCATTTATTACTATTAATTACTGTCAACTTTACACTCTTCAGTATCAATTTTTTATTACCTTTAGAGTACACTTACCCGTGCATATTTTTTAAGTGTTTTCCTAAATTACCTATTATATCGCTCTTCATTACTATGTTACATATGTCACATGTCACATACTGTGTGTCCTTTATGGTAAAATGATCCCATGTCCAATGTGTACGTTCATCTTTCTTTTCTTCTTCTGTTAATTCGTTTAAATGTTTCTGGACCAAGTGATAATGTAACCAAAATTGGGATCGATATGTTATTGATTTCAAACAATAATTGCATTGCGCAGATAAAGTTCCTCGTATTTTTTTGTAATGTCTACGTATCCCCTGACGAACCGGGAATGTCTCACGGCAATCTGTTGCTCTTTCCTCTGCCATTATAACCGTTTTGTGTTACGGAATATTCGTGATTAATCACAGAAGGTACGGAAACAATTCCAGACTGTTTTGAAGAAACTGCTTATGGAAAGCGCAAAACAGAGGTACGTTTCTTTGACCGAATATAAATATTGCTATATGTGTATATATGTACTTGAATTTGCTTAACTCCCAAATCATACAGTTCTACTCATTTAATTAATACAATTCTACTTATATATTACTTATATTTAAAAAAATGATTTAAAATTTTCTTCTTATTTTTCTTTACATATTAGTACAATTTTCATTTTACTTTCATCTCATTTATTATCAATAATGTTATATATTAATTCTATACGATGGGTCGCCACTGACTTGTTATATAATAATGTGTTGTATTCTTGTGTGTAAAGAATATTTTGCCATTCCTCTTAACATTTTTATTTACCAATCTTTTAAGCAAGCCATTTTTTTAAATAATTGATTTCCGAATAATCGCTGCTTCTGATTGATCTGAAACTTTTCATATAAGTTGTTTTCTACGTGAGGAATATAAAGTGGTTCCGATTTCCAAGAATGAAAAAATTTTTTCGGCAGGATTTTATTGATTGAATTTGTTTCTATATGATTTATATAACACACATAATATATAATATATACATGTAATATACATATGGAACTTCTATCCGATAGGCAAATTATGAAAACATTGCACAATAATAGCATCGTGAATTTACAATTTTCCAATAATTACGCTAAGATAATTCGTCATAACGCAATAGTTCTGTCAGAATAAAATTTCTTATTATATTAAACTAAAATCACGAAGGAGAACAAGAATATTTATATCTTTAGCAATGAGCAACAAATCATAAAAGTTTTATTTAGCCATTAAACAAAATATACAATGTTAATGCAATTGACGTAAACGTTTTATGAATATGAAATGGAATATTGCGTGGTTCAATCAATCGTCGAATATATATATATATATATATATATATAATACCAACGTAATACCTAATTTAGAAAAACTATTAATTCAAAATATTTGCAAAATTACCTAGAAGGATTTTAAAAATATCTCGTGTAATATTACATGAGTCACAAAAAGGATTTATACTAAAAATCTTTCATCAATTTCAATTTTACATCTTTACATTAATACTTTTATATGCAGAATGATTAGAGAAATCTGATTTCATTTGATCTCATTTCGTAAAAAATTATTTAATTCTATTTAAAAAAGCGAAAATGACCATCACATAATCTTTTTGGCGTCTTTATCTAGAAAAAAATAACGTAACCAAAGTATGTCCCCCTACCCCGAACCGTTGCACTTTCATAAACATTTTTTTAAATCTTTTATACTTTTCAAAATATCACACGTTCATCAAAATTCTGGTATTGTTGCGTATGTCTATTAAAAGTATTTGTGGTTTGTTCAATCCAGCTGAAAAATATTAAACAAATCTTTATAATTTCGCCACGGTTTTGGAGTTTTTTGTTGTTAAATCTTTATAATGTAACATACTATAATTCTTATAATATAGTCTACCAACAATGTAGCTGTAAAATCTTGAATCTTGTCATAACAGAAATATTTGGTTTAACCAAAGTGCATTTAATTATATCGTATGTATACGTTGCTCTCAAAACCGTTTTTCTCATGCATTAGAGAGGTCTATTATGAATTATATACCGATATTAAAATCATCAGGACGAACAAATTTGTGTTGTATAACTGAAAAAAATATGCTTTCATTATATTTAATAAAAATATTTATGTTAAATTAAGAAAACTTAATATAATAGAATTTTGAATATGTAAATTAACAATGAAAAATATAAAAATGTAATTAATTGAGAAATTATTTGTTGCCATTTAGATATTTATGTAATTTACAAAACTGAATGTAGAACTATCTATTCTAAGATTGTACGTATACATTTTATTACATATATATGTTTATACTTTTAATTAATATCGGACGTACCTGGCGGACGAAATTATATCCAAAGTGGAAATGTCCCACTCCGAATTTTACCTTTCTTAGTTTTATTTGTAATATAAATTGTAAAATCTAATTGATATAAATAATTAATTAAACGTTAGTTATATACTACCTTTCATGAAAGTTCAGACATTAGCATTATTAAACGGAGGTTACACAATATTAATTCTGTATGAAGTAATATTTGGAGCCCAGAGTATTGTATCGTAGTGAGATAAATACGAAAAAGAAGGAAAGATATGCCGCAATCTTAGGTGCGAAAATAAACGTCCAAATAATAAAATTCGTGAATATAATGTATAGTATAACAGTAATCTAATAAAACGTGTATAATATGTGTGCTAATGCGTTTCAACGGTGATCTTCAATGAGTTAAGAGAAATATACTCTCTCCCAGTAATCTTCGAAGATTACGGTTTCATGCGTATCGCAGCGAAATTCACGAAGGTGGATGGACTATACTCACCGATATAATATTAAATGGTTAGATAGAAAAGATTGCGTCTCGGAAATTAGTTTCCGAGTTGACAAGGAAAGTAGCTAAAGCCTGTCATTATGTCTTTAATCATGCTGTGTTACTTTAAATAAATAATGTGCAATTAAAAAAAATGAGAGATTTACTGTTTCCCATTACAAAATACATGGAAAAATGTGTGCCTATACAGAGTGTTCCAGAATATTCGCCAAATATTTCATATGCTGGTATAGAGAGGACCAAATTGAGTCGAAAAGTTCTCTACCATTTTGCAATTTTCGCAATAGTTAATAAGATATTAATTACTAAAAATCACCGAATATTGATTTTCAATAATTTTTTACTTAAGTAAAATTAATATTATTAATTGATTTATTCTATCGAGTCTTATTCAATTTAATTGTTAAATAAATTAATTAACAATATTAATTTCAATATAATATATATATTTACATTTTTTGTTTTCTAATTTTACAAATCAGAACTGATTGTATGTATTAGGAAGTTACAATAAGAAGTTTCAGAACTGCAATTCTGCGTGTTTATTAATTATATTTAATTTTATTTAATTGAATTTTAAATCCCAATTTAAAAGGCTTCGATATTTCTCATTATGTTTTTTCTTATCTTTAATTTATTATTCTGCTTCCCATTTGAAATTGCACAAGTATTACCAAATATGTCACCACTGTGCCAATTAACTGAAAGAAATAATCAAAATTATTAATTAAAAAAAGTTAATTTATATTAAATTACTTACAGAACATTCTAATTATTCTCACCGAATGCAGAAAAGTATTATCGAGCGTAAAATATCCGTTAGCTGTAAACTGTATTTTGCGATGTAGCAATTGAAGCGAAAATTTCTTGAGCTGTAACTTATCTATGATAAATATCGTTACGATGAGTACCATTTCTGAGAAAATATTATCTAACTTTGTTTTTTACCTCTGCTTTTATCTCTTTCCCGATTGCACGGTTTAAAAGATCATGCACTATATTGCCTGTTTTCTTTATCTACAATAAATTTGTAATTAAAATATTTCGTAAAATATTTGGGATTTTATTTATTGATAAAAATATTTTGTTCCATCGCGATTAGAACGATCTGATTAAAATGCGATCTTATTATACTGATTTTCCTACCTCGATTAAAATCCTGGTAATTCTATTGGTGAGGAGAGAGATGGGATATATCACACATATTATCCAGACGATGACATTAATAATATTATAAAAATAATTTAAGATATGATCAGTCATTAGAAACGAGAGAAAATAGTAACCATTATATATGAGTGTCAGAAAGAGAAAAACGATGCCGAATAGTAGTGGTAGTGAATAGAAACTTGACACATCCTCAGAGATTTCACAGAGATGACAATGCACATCCCGCAGTTGCAACAGTTGATGAACGGTCGAATTATTGACAACGATACGACGCGTTTGATAAAGAGACTGCAGTCGAAGATCAGGTGTATTGATCCTGGTGAGGCTTTGTATCGCTCGATTCACATTAGCGAAATCTGTCTGAATGACCGTCACCAACAGGAAGTACTGTATCAGTAGCCAACTCACGTGAAATGTCGGCAGAACGTCTGTCAGCCATGAGACTGGGCCTGTATTAATGGTTAGAATCTCAGTGAACAGGAGAAGTGTCATAAGGCAAATCTTCAAGATGCAAATGATAATCATAGTGCAGAGAATACGCTGTCGTCGTAGTGGATAATATAGATCATACAGACGATCTATCTCGTGCTCGATGGTGATTAATCGATTGGCGATCCGCATCAAAGACTTCTGGTTGATGCAGTAGCTAATCAAAGTCACGCAGGTCACCAGAGTACCAAGTACAGTTTGTAGAACTGCAATGCCTACAGACAAATTCGTCTTGATCTTGTACTCCCAATTAAGTCTGAATGGTATAGACATATAAGACTTCTGGTTGATGCAGTAGCTAATCAAAGTCACGCAGATCACCAGAGTACCAAGTACAGTTTGTAGAACTGCGATGCCTACAGACAAATTCGTCTTGATCTTGTACTCCCAATTAAGTCTGAATGGTATAGACATATAGTTCGAAGCTATCATTAAGCTACTCAGCACAACATTGTAAACGATTCCTAATTTGGAATATTGAAATGTGTATGACGTTCTCTTTTTGTATATGACGATTCGGTGGCCAAATGTAGCGAGACCGATAAGCTTAAAGAACATTATCAATATTCTGAACATCCAAAATAAATCTTGATGTAACTCTGATTTTTTTTTGTTCGCTATCTGTTCACTATTTTCTTCCGTAATAAAATTTTCTTTATCTATATTTCTAAAGGAATTGGAGATTTTATCGATGTCCATGAAAGCTGAATTCTTGATCGAAGACATTTTTTCAATGACTATCTTTTTCCATAATTTTTTAATTCTAAGTTAATATCTTCTTCTTTTCTTCATTTGGTCTTGTCAATTTATCCATATTACCTTCTGTTTCGTGATTTATAAGTATTTTCTTTAGGAAATTTTCATTTCAATCTTCTTAATATTTTTTTTCAAGTCATTTGTATATAAAGATTTTTTTAAATTTGTATACTTTAAAGTCTTCTTTACTGAAACGTTTTACTCATAAATCATTCATAAATTGATAATTTAAGAGGCGTCCGTTTTATCTTATCAATGTCTATCCAATTGCTTTGTATCCAAATTGATTACGACCGTTTGAACATCATATACAACTAATTGCGAATCCAATAAATATTCACGTATATTCTAATACCTTAACGCCGAGACACTACCACCAGTGTCTCCAGATTGACGTTGTGCTTTATAATTCTTACAAAGTAACACTGAGCTGAATAGCGATGCAAATACCTTTCTCGCAAGCATCACGTCTGCAAAACATTATTAAATATTAAATTTGTAAAAGTTATAAACACGTGATAAGAGCATAAACGCATAAAATCGATAATTTAGATTGTTTCAGTCGACACGGATCCTGCGCGATGGAAATAGCCGATTGTATTATACGATATTATTGTTATAATAATATTCACTAAAATATTTATCATCTGTATATATGACATGATATACATACACGATAATACGTTCTTCGTAATTTCTTCAACTGTAATGCTAGTTAATTATAGCGCGAATATATGACTCAAAATAATAATTCTGCATTGTAGTATAGTCATCAATGTCAATATTATATAATCACCAATGTCAACATTATTATCATCATTTGGAGTTCTTATGGATTATGTAAAGACATTTTAGCATTAAATTAACTTCTATCGCTTTAGCAAACTTCTTTTAAAATAATGAGAGCATACATTTCATGCACGGTTCGCAGTTACATGAAATATTTCTTTTATGTCAAAAAAAGAACTTTATATTACTTCAAGTTTATTCATCTAAAGTCGTATTTGTGAAACCATCGGAAACCATAATTAGTAAACGCAATTCAATATTTTACATTTTGCTCTCTTTTTTAGGAAAAGCATATAAGGAAAATTATTGAAAGAAGTTTATTAAAAGAAGTCGTAAGAAATAACTTAAAAGAATCTGGAGACACTGGTAGCGTCTCGGCGCTAAGCTACGTGCAGCGACACACTACCGTGGCTACTTTACATTAATATATACTTAATATATACATTAATATATACTCAATTCGATATTTTAGGTAGATTTAATACGATAAGGAAAGCATCAGTCCTTTAAAAGCAAATGGTATTGCCTCAACCGAAACTTCCGTTTAACAAGAAGATAGCAAAAACAAACATATTCTAATACAATGTATAAGTTTCTTTATTCAATCGTTTCAAAACTTTCATCTTTAGAGTTTTTACTCTGCAATCTCTTATCTCATAAATTGCCATTTAACCGATGTAATATATATAAGATATATTATATATATATATATATATATATATATATATATATATATAAAAGAGA